GAGGGTTTACCTCTACATTATTCCTTTCAATTATCACAAAAATACAAAGAAAACTTTTCTTTTTCATTTCAACTAGACAACTAGAAATTAAAAGCACAGTGTATAAATTCCACCACCAGGGGGCTCTCAATCAAAACAAGAACAAAAGATGACGTTGAGGCTGCCAGGGAATCGTAGGAGTGATTCTCTAAGCTACTCCCCTCCCACCCCGGATGAAAACGAAGTCCGAGTTGACCGTAGTGAAGATGAACGGGTGAATCAGACCTGAGGAAGAGAATATGTTTACCAACGATGTATCCAAGAATAATTTACGTTTTTTTTGTCAGCAGCACACACAGCAACAGTACGGCAGCTTTCAGTAGCGATGTCCGCTTCGTTATGCAGTGGTCTTTGACGCAACATCCGGTGTTTCCACGGCAACGATAAACACGTGTCTGCATGGTGGCTCTGTCATGGGGCATGGCCACCATAAGACAAGTCCTGTAACAACTATAAAATGCCGGATTTATAAGGCTTACATAGCTATTTGAAATATTTGAAGTAATGTAAGTACTCGACAACCAAAAATATATAACATGGGTTCCGTTATTAATTTATGTGGATATTTTAGTGTAAAAATTCAACATATTGTACAGAAACCTCCATGAGTTGATGGGAGGCAAATGTTGTGTAAAATTACTGTAAATGATGATCAAACAGCATGTGATCACTAATGGAACATACTCGGCCACTTGTCTTTGGTCAGGTTCTTAAATAACCAAAGCCTAATACCAATAAAGCCTGATAGCACCCTCTCTCTAACTTCCTATAGAAAACCAACATAAAATAGTCCCGTACTTCCCTCCTGCTATACTCTTAAAAGACAGTTCCTCTTTCCTCTGCACTGTTTCTGTTCTCCTGTTGAAACATCTGTGTCCTAGACAGCATACAGCTCCCGACTGAATACAGAAACAGCGAACAAAACCTGCTGCATTTCATGTCGAGCTGGATCCCAGGGGAGTCAAACGCTTCCCTTCCACGTAAGAGACTTCTCACCAAATGTAAGAGTGATTATTACAAAAGCGTCTGACTCAACAAATGCATCTTCATCTCTCAGCATGTGTGGGGCACAGAGCGTAGAGGAAATGTGTGGTGGTTCTTTTTTTCTGTGTGTGAGTAAATGGATGTGCAAGATTTGATGACTAGTGAGTGTTTTGCTGTCTTGTACTTTGTAAAGAAATAAAAGGCAGGGAAGAGAAAAGTGCCTAGACTGAGATAAGATGATGGGAGAGAAAGAGGACTAACAGAGATATCTATGCCAATTCATCCAGACCTAAGGGGAAAAAATAGACCAGTATCACACATCTATTGAAAGGAGAGGGGAGAAAAGTCGTGGAGGGAGAGCGTAAAGGTCAAAGAAAGAATGCAAGTGAAGCTGCCGGTGTCACAGGCAGATATAGACTCATCTCCTGCCTGCCTGTCATCTGCATCGCACACAATATACCCTTTATTCGCAATATCACGTCTCTCCATTTCACTTCATTTGCCTCCCTGGTGTAGCGTCTCCCTGTGTGATCCACTTTTTCTCTCCCCCATCACACAGCTGCCAGCGATACTGTATATAAAATTTGCTCTCGTTCGCACTCACTGGAAAAAAAACCCCCATATCTCACTTACACATAAAGTCTTTTTATACCTCACACATACCCTCGCCTTACCTATTGTATTCCTTACTGACTCACAAAGTTTTTTTTTCTTTCGTCACACTTTCTTTCTCTTCAACTTGCGTAGTTTTCTTATGCTTTTCACCTCAGGATCTCCTTATATAACAATACTGGCAGCAGCATTATTGTAAGCTCGTGTGCCTCTTCCGTCCCCATTGACTTTCTGTAATCTTTTGAGTATAATACATCATCCTGGTTTTATGCTTAACCCATATTTTCCGCCTCAACTCCCCCCCCCAAAATAAAAAATCATGTCATCATGTGCTTACAAAGTAGCACACATCAGCAAGCAAACGGTAGCTGCTTACAACTGAAATATGTATTTATTTTACTTTCCATTTTTAACAAAACACCATCCAAAACATTGCTGTTTTAAATTCTTATAATTTAACCAGTCAGTTTTTTCAAACTTTAATCCCACGAATTACTTACGCACAAAATGTCTGTAATTTGTAAGATTTCACTCATCTTTTAATCCTTGAATAGAAAGGATAAAAGCAGGGGAACAGAAATGCACACTTAATGATCTCTGTGACTGTCTGTCACACAAAGGCCACACATATACACACAAAAACACGATACACAAACGCGGACACAGGAAACACACACACGCATGCAAACACGAGTCACCAAACCGTGGAGGGACAGGGTTCGGTTCATTGCTCACCTTGGCTTGGTTTGATCAATGGCAGTCAGCCTCTCGAAAATCCCTCCCTCAAACAGAGCTGAATAAACAGGCAGAAAGCATTTACACAGGCTCACATAATCTGCTAATCCATATAACCTGCTTTCTAACCCCCCCCCCCACACACACACACACACACACACACACACACACACACACACACACAGCATCATACAGTGGTTATGTCCAACAATACTGTGTACTTATCCAGGAACACAAGCAGAGGACTGGATATGAAGGCAGAAAATGACTACACATTATTCTATTCACATAAATTTGCATGCACACACACACACACACAGGCATGCCCACACACACAGTATCAGTGACTTTAAGCCATTATCCTGTCTGACCTCCTCGACAGGATATGGTTGATAGTCTTGTCGATGTTGATAACAGACACACGGGTTAATAGGGATTAATGGACTGTACACACACTGTTGCACAAACACATACACAAGAGAGCATGAATAACACTCCAGAGCTGATGCGTTTACAGGCTTTCATGTATCTCTGAAGTGTGTGTGTGTGTATGTTTGTGTGTCTGATTAACCAAGTGAAAATATCATGTTGCCGTTGGCCCGGCAGCATTCCCACAGTTTGAAGGGATAATTGAAGCGTGAAAAAGCCATATAGAGTTTGTCAAGTCTTAATGGTCTGAGTTTAGTATCTTGGCCACCATGAGTACCAGGCTTAGTGTCACCAATTTCAACTATTTGAAGCAGACACAGATTTTATCACAAAATACGTAACTTCATTTATAGTGTTGACAATTTGATGACCTTCCCAGTTAATAATTTTCTTTTGACCTGAAATATCACCAATAAAAAAAGAAAGACCAGGAGTCCAATTTAATAGATGCATGCAATAATAAGACAATCCTTTTTTTTTGGAAATAATATTTAGCAAGTATCAGAAGTCATCAGAAGTAGCTAATAAACTCTGATTATAAAGAAACTAAATACAATTCCAATGCACTGTATTAACCAAGTCCTGCTGTCATTTTTCCAGTGTGGACCTTCAAGTTTAACAGCTTACACCTTTGTGTAGTGATGTAAAAATATACTCCAGGTTGTGTCAGTACACAATGAGATCACTGGTGTGGTAACAGTGGAAGAATGATGAGTCAATATATTTTTGCTTGGTTTGGACAGAATGTTACTATTTCTTGTTGACAAGGTTATCAAGCCACAGAAAACTGAGGTTTAAAGTCCAAATTGGGCTTAAATGTTCCAAATCTCAGATACAAGAGTAACAATGGTTTGACAATCAGCTGGAGCCTCATTCCCCTTTGGTATCCATAAAGCCATGTTATGTTGATCAATCCAAGGTCCATATAACTGGAATTGAACTTGATTTTTTGTTGCAGTTCTATACCCTCGCAGGGCTTCTTGGGGGTGGGGGGCATGAGAGTTTGCACATCAAGTCTACATGTGTATTGTGGACCTGGAGAAGGCTTATGATTGTGTCTTATGGGGGTTATGTGTGGAGTATTGAAGGACTATAGTAGGGCTGTTGCAGCGTGCCATCAGGTCCATATATAACCAAAGTGAGAGCTATGTTAGCGTTCTCAGCACAAAGTCAGACAAGTTCCTTGTGTGTTTTGGCGCACTATTTGTGATTTTCATGGAGAGGATCTCAAGTCGCAGCCAGGGGAGGAGGCTTTCCGGATTGGAGACTTAAGAATTTCATCTCTGCTCTTTGCAGATGATGTTGTTTTATTGGGCCGGTTTGCAGCCGAGTGTGAAGCAGTCAGGAGGTGGGTCAGCATCTCCAAGTCCGAGGCCATGGTTCTCTACCAGAAGTGAAGGAGTTCAAGTATCTCTGGGTTTTGTTCACGATTGAGAGTAAAATGTGTTGTAGACCGTCATGGTCAAGACCCTATGGCTAACAAACCCAGTTGTTCACATACCAAAATAAGGGGAACATTTATGCATTTCCTGATTTTAAAAAAAAATAAGCATACAAAGGGGAGGACATCATACACAAATACTTAAACTTACTTAAAGTCACTCTGATCCCCTCATTGTCAGAGCACTTGGTTTGGTGCTTAACGTGAACATAGTTTCAAAAGCAGGCTCCACCCACTGCCCTTTGTTTTATCCTATCAGGAGGCATAATTCTACAACCACGTAACTCAAAAGCAGAGTTAGTTCACTTATTTTAAACAACAAAATGACAAAAAGAAACTTATTAAAATATTAAATAAATGGACTTCTCCAGGCAAACAGGACATTTTAAAAGATTCTAATAATCAAATTCTAAATTAAAAAAAATAAGTCTTTTGATTGTCCCAACATTCGACTTTATGTTGCTGTGGCTACATTTCCTCCTTTTTTAAATTGGTTTTAAAACTAATAGTGTCCATGGATATTAAGATTTGCTCGGTTAAAGAGATGTTGGAGTTTGTGTTTATTTGGGTTTTGCCAGTACTGAATGATGGAAGTTTTAAAAAAAATCAAATGTCAAAGTCTTTTTTCACACTTTCTCACTGTTGCCATATTAACTTTTTTTTCATTAAACATTGACTGATTCTATCTTCTGGTACACCGTCTTTTCACCGATGGCACCTTTGTCTATTCAACCCTGTTTCCTGTCCTTTCTCTCTCTAGATACGATGGACGAAGACGGCAGGCAGTGCATCAGACAAGTTCCAGGAAACATCCATCTACAACGAGACTCTGCGCATCGAGGGCATCCAGAGGGTGCAGGGGGGTCGCTACTACTGCAAGGCCGACAACGGGGTTGGGGTGGCTGCCATCAAGTCCATCCGCGTAGATGTGCAGTGTAAGTGGGCAGGGAGAAAGAGGAACAAACACTCCTTCCACTTTTTAGACCACAGCTCTATCACTTCAGCTATTCCCACCGCTAAAGCAGAGTGAGATGGGGAGAGATAGAAAGATTGGAGGGGGGAAAGATGAAAGACAGATTGGATGGATGATTAGATCTCTGGTGGGAATGGCTTCCAGGAGTATCTGAGGACTTGGTAAGGCTGAAAAGCATGGTACAAAGATTGGTTAGGGGATCAATCAAAGGCAAGTGTAGTATTAGAAAAAGTCTTGATTAGATACTCAGTTAAAACAACTATCTCAATTTTAAAGCTCCTTTCCCTTAAGTGTACCTTTGGTTTATTTCCCTGCTGGTGTGTGTGTGTAGTCCACCAGTGAGGGCAATATGAGAAAATACATTTTCAAAATCAGATACTCCTGGAAAAAAGTGAAGTCTGTGGATGTATCAAGAGTTTATAACAGTTAGTCCAGGTGGTACGGGCTCCCTGACCCACTGTTTCTCAACTGACCCTTTGCCTTTATGCTTTAAAAAAGGGGGGGAATTGAAAAAAACAAACACCGGGTATTAGCTTCCTAGACCAAGTCATCCACAATGTTTGTGGATTAAGCTGTTAAGCTATGTCGCCTATTCCAGTGTGACATATCCTATGACAGTATGTTGATAAATAATAGTGATAATGAGATCACCTCTCCTCTTCAGACCTTGCTATAGATCCCTTAAACTGTCCCTGAAGTCCAAGGCTCTATAAGATGTTTTTTTGTTGAGAAGCAGTGTTGTGTTCTAGGGGCCCCGTGCTGCTGCTTGTTTCACTGCCCCACTGTCCCCGTGAGTCAGGGGCCAGGTCATGGCGACAGGTTGACACACATGCAATCCTATATCCACCACATCAATAATATTATACAGTTTCATTTTCATTCCCAGCACCCTGAAATCCTTGTCCTTCTGTATCTGTTTATTGTAGAGATAGCTTCTTCCTTCATCGATTCAATCATTTTAATGGCTGGTTTATAGACTTATAGAAAAAGGCAGATTTTCAAAGGGCCCCATAACACTAAACATCAATTACCTGCCTTTCCTTTTCTTTATCCAGCTCTTCTCTTGCTCTCCTTTTGTCATAATAAAACACTATGCCACCCCTTTCTTTGGCACCAAATCTCCTATACCAATCTATGCAGCTGCAAACTTACGCACATAAACAGGCACATACACAGACACACACACACACATGCATACCCCATGCTTGTCACTGTAGGATTTGTCACTTTAACACCACCCTGCCTCTTAATGGGGCTCTCCCCTCTCTCTCGCTCTCCTCCTTCCTCTCTTCTGATACTGTTAGTTCTCCCCAGGCGCTAGCTCAGCCCCTGCTGGGAGGCTGGTAATTGCAGGGGGGCCTGGGTAGTAAACAGGTTGTTTTGTGTTTGTGTGTGTGTGTGTGTAGTTGTGACAGGAGCTCTGTGAAGCTAACGAGCTCTGACAGCCAATGCTTGTTCAATTCCCCATCCCCCATGCTGCGTTACACAGAGCGGCGGTCAGCCACGCTTCCTACACAGGGCGGCTTTAGAGCTCCACTACGATGTAACAATTAGGCTAGGCTACCGGGTAAAGAGAGAGAGAGAGGAAAGAGGGAGGGTGAGGGACATAAATGAAAGTGGAGAGTAAGTCAGGAAAGAGGGGTCAGGAGTGGGGAAGGAGGTAGATGGGAAACCATTGACTAAACAATTAGAAACAACCACATCTTATTTTTGCTGGAAATGCAGTCTGAACAGTAGTATAACTCTAAAGATCACACATTTTCCATATACTTACCAAAAAGTAATTTTATTTTAAGTGTATAAATGTGAGAACTACTGAGTGGGTTATCCTTTATTTAGTCAATCTTCTTAATATACATTTAGCTATAGTCACGGTAGCCACTTTAAGTCCTGTTATTTTTTTCCGAATTGTAATTTTTGAAAAAAAAAAAAAAAAAAGATCCATGAATGACTCAAGGATTTGGTCTTGAGTTACTCAAGTGACAGATATTTTTCAAGCCAATACTTAGTTATTCATTTTGATTCAGATATATTCAGATATCCCTGGATTTGATTATTCTTGCTCTGCACTGAAAAGGGAGCAGGTTGTGGTAAAAACAAACTCTACACTAAGCCCTGTCAAAACCAGTAGGACAAAAATCACAAATGATTGTCCAGAAACAGATGATTATGTTAAGAAGAAATGTGAAGGAGAAAATAGTAAGAAAAGCAAACACAATGATCTGTATCTTGCTTTATACACCTGAGGAGTCGCACTTCTTTTTGAAAAACCTAACAGCTAGTATGTGACAATATTGAAATAGAAAAGAATGGCCATTGATTATAGCTGAATAGATTATTATGTTATGTTAGTTGTTATTTCCATCTTAAAGGGAAGAAAAGCTAGAGCAACATGAAATATAGAATAAGGCAAAAAGACATGACGACAGCAAGGAGAGAGAGAGAGAGAGAGAGAGAGAGAGAGAGAGAGAGAGAGAGAGATGCACATAATAAGGTAGAGGCACTCCTATTCTTTTCATTTCAGATGCATCCAACAGACCAGTTATTGGACTGTAGGGCAGAACATGATGTTACTCACACTGGGTACAAACAGGAGTGTTGCTCCCTCCATCATACATTTCTTTTTTGATGTCTCAGCTTTTTGCATTGAAGTGACAAAAAATCCACTTTTTATTCAAACTTAATTTTCCTCTCCTTCTTTCCTCATTCCTCTATATTTAATTCTGCCTGCTCATCTTCCTTGTTTTTTTCCTTCTTCCGTCCACCTTGAACCACACACACACACCAGTGCAGAAAGTACAAAAAGCACATATATTTGTAATGATGTACTTGCACACTGATGCATATAGTAATATAGACCCACTTTCAAGTATAAAGGTAAAGTAAAATCAAAAGCATAGCATACAAAAGCACACTCATGCACCAAAGCAGATAGATTCACATTGCAAAGTGTGATGTGTGTGAGCAAGAAGAATTACAGAGGAGAGGGAGTGAATGATAGATCGAAACTGAAAAGACAGCAGAGTAAATTAATAACAAGTTTCAGGATTAGGGCAAAAATGCATACTCGATATTCCCTTCTGAATAAAAGACACATGCAGGAAAAAAAAACATATATAAAACGTATATTATTGCTATAGCTGACAATCTGTGTCACGTTCTTTCAATCCTTCCTCTTTTTATTTTGTTACACCTCCTACCTCCTCCCTCTTTCTCTCGTTCTTGAAACTCTGAACAAGTTAATAATTCAACATGTATCCACACATTCAACAGAGGGCTATATGAATTAATAAGTTAGTTCAGAAATGTAAATGTTAGTCAGTATGTTTTCTTTTTTAATCATCCTGCACGGCCTTCATGTGCGATATTGTGAAGTCTACCTACTTAATGAGCAAATACATGTTAGGATAATCCTTCCCTCTGTCGAGCTTCCTGCTTAAAATTCCCAAAAAGTAGATGCAGCTAACTTTCCATAAATCTGCAGCCACTAAAACTGCCTTCACTAAAGCTTACCAAAAAGCAACACATCATCACACATTTCTGTAACACATCTGCCCCATCTTCCATCATGATCATTCACCTGTATCAAGCAGCTGACCTATGACCTGGCACTCTGACCACTGAGGCAGTGGGGCAGTGAGCTGGCGGGGTTTAACTTCGAGTAGCCTCTACTGATGGGATGGACTTGGTTCAGAAACCCAACAAATGAATAAAAAAAAAACTGGTTATGATAAAACAAGTTAACCCAGCTTAGTTCAGATCAGTTCTGTACTGTGAATTCAGAACTCTTCATGATACATCCAGGTAAGTGGCAATTTTTTTTTTCTTTTTTTGGGAGGGGGGAGGGGGGTGTTAATGATGATGCTGATGATGATGCTGATTATGTTCTTGTTGACAGCAGTGTGTACCAGTGGGGGTGAAGATGATGATGATAGTCATGATGCTGATGAGTCTGCAGGGTTGTTATTTTTTATGGATTGAGTTGTTTGTCTTTTGTATGTGAAACAGTTTGACACAAAAGCAGCAAAACAAACGTATTACCTTACCCTGAAGTCTGACACTGTTGGCCCCACCGTAGACACAATTGAGATAACTTAACCTACCCACACTGCCACCAGCAGTTTGTTGTTTGTTTGTTTATTTTAATACTTATAGTTGATAAAGATGGTTAAAGGTCAGTATAGGTATCATATGAAAAAGCTGCGGCTTCATTAAAGAGTGCAATGTTGCAGAATAAGCTATGAGCATTTCCTGTTTGTGGATAATGAAGAAAACCTAATGATGTTATATGATGATTATCAGAGTTAGGTTATGGAGTTATGTGGAGTGTCCTTTGTGATAGGATCAATGGACATTTGTCATGATAGACTCAGAAAATCGAGATCCCGAAGTCAAACTGAATCTTCCCGGTCAGAGTTAACGGATTTGTTTGACTCCAAGAAGGACTGAAACTTTAGTGAAATTGCATTCAAATGTTACATTTGAACTAACCTGAACACAAAGATGCTTTTTTCTCAAGTTTCCACAGTCCTTGCTGTGTGCAGTTTTTATCTTCTGATTAAGGTCGTTCAATGAACTTTAAAAGCCTAATGGTGGCCAGAAAAGGCAACCAGTAAGTACAAAGTAAGTGTCAGTAGCTGTGTATAAGGATTTTCTGGACAGTTACTAAGGACAGATTGGAATACATACATCCTTGCAGGCCTGGTTAATTAAAGATAAATGCTATGTTGTTCTGATTTTCAAGCCAGGCTGACTTTTCCAAGGAAACTGGCACCAGCCTCTTGTGCCATTGTCAGTAACGACGGTATAAATCAATGGAGAATAAGACCATGTAACTCCAAATGTACACAAGCCCTTTCACAGCATTGGCAGTTATCACCCTTTCTGTCACTGGCAATTGGAGTCGAGAGAAGGATGCATTATCCATTATTCCAACACTCTCCCTTCAGAAATAGTCCCAGT